AACACCAACACCCATTGTGCAGCAACATCAAAGTGATCCAAACAGTAGTGATCGTGAAGCAGTAACAAATCCAAAGTCGGGGCAGCAACAACTTGTCACAACTGCTCCAGCTATTTCATTAGAGGATAGAAAACTTTTGGATGCACTGGTAAGTACTGATCCTCCTAACTCGTTAATTCATAATACTTATAGCACTGGTTGTGGGAGTAGGAGCTGGACTACATTACAAAGACAACAAAAAAACAAGGCAAGCATAGTTAAAGTACAAGATGAAAACACATTGGTGACACAAGGTGTTGATCAAGAATTGCCAAATCTGGCTCTTGAGAGTAGAGATATATATGCAGAAGGTGAGGAAGATGACATTTTAAGTCAAAGCCGGGCAGAGGCAGCAAGAAAAGGTGATTTATCACCAATGCATAGCGGCAAAAGAAAGAAGTCACATACAAGAGAAAAAAGTTGGGACGGCAGGGTTAATGAAGATGCAAATGTAAGGCGACTTCCAATGAGAGTTGCCAAACAAAAGCAGATTACCCAAACTACATCTACAAAATCAAATCATTCAAAGAAGAAAGCATGAATTTTGAAGACATTTTGAAAAGGGTAGAGGATGAAGACAAGCGTCTACAAGTTGAAGACTTCACAAAATTAGAGAACAAAGGACATCACTGTTATTTCTACATATTCCTATTCTACCATCACATTAGCATAGTTTTATGTAATATCATCACAGAGTATGTTATAAACTCTGTGATGATCATAGAATATCTAGTGTTAGCTAGTTCTTTCTTTTTACATGCTTGTTAGTAGGAGACGTTTTTTCTTTGCCTTAATAGGATTAGTAAGGTATGGTTTAGCCCAGTTTGTGTTGCTCTAATCCTATGTCTTTGGAAAGATATCCAAATGGCTATGAGATTATATGCCCTCGTGAGACTTTGCCGGCAGCTACACCATGATTCCTCTACATGAGGCTGTCATAAGGGCATTGTGAGGCGCAGAGGAGTGATTATATAGCCAAAGCATAGAGGCAACACTACTGGTGCTATTGTCCCCCTAAACAGTTGCATTCAAGGCTACAACTGAAAGAGCAGACGATGATATTGATGACGACCCTGAAGCTCTTCAAGAAGAAATTGCCATGGTATCAAGGAATATGGATGGTTTAATGAGGAGATACTGGAATACAAGAAGAGGCAGGATACCACCCAGGCGAACTAGGCAATATAACGAACAAGACAAAAATGATGGCAAATGATATGAGTGTGGAAGATTTGGGCATGTTCAAGTTGAATGTCCTGATCTTAAAAGAAAAGTTTCTAGAGGTTTCAACAAGAAAAAATCATTTGGAAGCTGGAGTGATGAAGACAGTTCAGAACCCGAAGAGATAGTAAATCTATGCTTCATGACAATTCTGGAAAACAACATGAACAAACTCTCGGGCTGCTAGACAGATGAGGACACTTCAGATGATGAATTCAAAGATGACAATGAGAACTGTTTCATGGTACGAGGTGAAACAAGCAAGGTAAGAACTTATAACTGTGAAAGATGTAATGAATTGCAGGATATTCTTGACCTTACTTTGAAAGAGTCTCAAAAAATCATGAATGAACTAAAGAGACTCAACAAAGAAGTAAAAGACTGGAAACTCAAGCTTAAAGTATGAGAAATTGAAAAAGAAGTGCTTCAAGAAGAGTTTGAGGAATTGCAAATGCAACTCAACGGCATGCGCAAATCCACCGGTCATAGTTCTGTCAAGTAGAACCAGGCCACTTATAAGTCAACTGGAGAAGGACCAGCCAGAACAAAGTCCACTAGTACTAACACAAATGAAAGATCCAAAAATGGATCAGGACATACATGTCACTACTATAACAAAAGTGGACATAAATATTCTTTTTGTCGATTTCATAAATCAAATGTCTCAGGATGGATTTGGAAGCCCAAAAACAATCTCGAGTCCAGTAATACTAACTAACAAGGACCCAAGCAAGCTTGGGTACCTAAAAGAAAGTGATAATTATGTTTGCAGGAACATCACAGAAGGAGTCGCAAAGGAAAATGGTACTAGTGCGTGTTCCAGTCACATGACAAGTGACAAAAACCTGTTTAAAGAAGTTACAAAAATAGATGGAGAAAGTGTCAAATTTGGTGATGACTCAAAAGGAAAAATAGTCGGTACTGGAACAGTTCCTTTCAATAATAATTGTGATATCACTGAGGTTTATCTTGTGGACGGACTTAAGCATAATCTTCTTAGTATAAGTCAGCTATGCGACTCAGGGTATGAAGTAAAGTTCAAGAAAATAGGTTTTGCTATTGAAGATGAGACAGGTAAAATAATCCTCCCAGGTAAAAGGTATGGAAATGTCTATGTTCTTGATGGTTTTGAAAATATAGATGGTCATATATGTTTAACATCCATATCTGACGATACATGGTTATGGAATAAGAAACTTTGTCATGTAAGCATGCATCTGATAGAGAAACTTTTCAAGCATGATTTAGTTATTGGTTTACCTAAACTCAATTTCTCTAGAAATCATATATGTGATGCATGTCAGATTGGTAAACAAACTAGAAACTCTTTCAAAAATAAAGATATTGTATCTACTTTAAAGCCTTTGCAATTGCTTCATATGGACTTATTTGGACCTACTAGAACTGCTAGCATTGGAGGTAAACGATATACCTTTGTCAATGTTGATGATTACTCATGCTTTACTTGGGTGATTTTTCTATCTCACAAAGATGAAGCTTTGAAAAATTTTGAGATCTTCTGTAAAAAGGTCGAAAGAGAAAAGGGGTATCTTATTACAACAATTCAAAGTGATCATGGAGGAGAATTTGAAAGTAGAGTATTTGAAGATTTCTGCAATGATCAAGGATACACCCACAATTTCTCTACTCCAAGGTCATCCCAACAGAACAGAGTTGTTGAGCTAAAAAATAGCAATAACTATGATACTAGAATATTCGTTGCCAAATCACTTCTAGGCAGAAGTAGTAAGTACAGCGTGTCACATTCTCAACCAATGCCTCATAAAACCCATCCTAAAGAAGACTTCTTATGAATTGTGGAAAGGTAAATGACCAAATATAAGTTACGTTCATCCATTTGGAAGCAAGTATTTCATTCACAATAATGGTAAGGATAATCTTGAAAAATTCGATCCAAGAAGTGACAAAGGTATTTCTGGGTTATTCATTAAATAGTAGATCCTTTAGAGTCTATAATAAATGCACACTATGTGTAGAAGAATCAGTACATGTTATCTTTGATGAAAATAACACTTCTGCCGAGAAAGGAATTATTGCAGGTGATGAAGATCAAATTCAAGAAATTCAGGAGACAAGCAAATTCCAAGAGTCGACTAATAAACCTGATAGTGTCATGGAATCGACTAATGAGATTAGCAACAGTCAATCAGAAACTCCGAAGGAGTCAACTACTCATACAAGTACAATTCGTCCAAATGAATGGAGAAGTGAACCAGAATATCCTAAAAAGTTTGTCATAGGAGACCCAAACGAAGGAATGAAAACCAGGGAAACTCTAAAGAAGAAAGCAAACATAGCACTGATTTCCCAGATTGAACCAAAGAAAATAGAGGAAGCTCTGAAAGACTCAAGCTGGTTACAAGCAATGCAGGAAGAGCTAGATCAATTTGACAAAAATCAAGTGTGGAAACTGCTGCCTAAGCCTGAAAACGCTCCTGTAATTGGAACAAAATTGGTTTTCAGAAATAAGCTAAATGAGGATAGAAGGGTTGTGAGAAACAAAGCAAGATTAGTAGCTCAAGGATATTCACAACAGGAAGGAGTCGACTATGACGAAACCTTTGCTCCAGTAGCTCGACTGGAATTAATAAGAATTCTTCTTGCATACGCATCCTTTTAAAGATTTAGGCTCTTCCATATGGATGTCAAAAGTGTCATTTTAAATGGATTCATTGAGGAGGAGGTATATGTAAAACAACATCCTAGATTTGAAGATTTAAAGTTGTTTACCGTGAAAATGGTAATAACAATTAAATTTGATTATGGGACTCTAAAAATACGTGATCTATTTTTATGCCGGTCGTTTAGCAGTAGATGCTATGTGAGAGACTTAGAAACGAGATAACAGTTAGGAATAAGGGAATAACCAAATCGATAGGCTAACAATCGGGGCCTCGAGCTTGCCGATTTGGGGGCCTCGAGGTCGATTTCGATGCTTAGCTGGGAGCTAACGAAGGCAGTCGAGAAATGACTAACAGTTATAATAAAATCAACGAAGGCTCTTTGTGGCCAATGATAAGCAATAAATGATGAACAATAATGAAGATAATAAATGGAAGCAATAATATCAAGAGAATGTGTTAGAGAGCAGAGAGAATGTTCTTGTGTATTTAGTATGGAGCAACAGAGGCAACAGGTCCTTACAATATGGCAAGGACCACCTTTATATAGAAAGGGGGATCCCATCATAGTACAAACGCATTTATTACAAAGATATGGAGATGGGACAGCTAGTCGACGTCATGATGCAGGCTCAGACTAGCCTGACAGACTTTCTCGGCTCTAGCTGCACCCCTTGGGAACTCCCCTCTTTTCCAATGTAGCCGTTGGTCTGCATTGCCCCGAGGTCGAGCATCGACAGCCCTCGAGGGTGAACCTCGACCCCAGTCTCGAGCTTTGGGAAGTATGTTCGCGGGGCATCATAATGACGGAGAAATTGGACTCTCCGATTTTACTGTGCACAAAAGTTTCCCTACCATGTGTACAAATTGACCAAAGCATTGTACGGACTCAAACAAGCTCCACGAGCATGGTACGAAAGACTCAACTCATTTCTTCTTGATCACAGATTTACAAGAGGTAAAGTAGACACTACCCTTTTTATTAAAAGATCATCAGAAGGTAATCTCATTATTCAAGTTTACATTGATGATATTATTTTGGTAGTGCTAATCCTCTTCTGTGCAAGGAATTTTTAAATCTTATGCAAAGAGTTCGAAATGAGTATGATGGGAGAGCTAACATTCTTTCTTACACTTCAAATTCAACAATCAGAAGAAGGAATGTTTATATGTCAGACAAAATACACAAAGAAGTTGATTCAGAAGTTCGGTATGAGTAGTTCTAAAGCTATTGGCACACCAATGAGTCCTTCAGCAAGTCTTGACAAAGATGAACAGGGAAAACCTGTTGATGAAACTAAATATCGTGGAATGATTGGCTCCCTTCTTTATCTAACTACTAGTCAACCAGATATTATGTTTAGTGTTTGTAAATGTGCCAGGTTTCAGTCAGCTCCTAAAGAATCACATCTGACTGCAGTAAAGAGAATTATTTGATATCTCATTGGAACTGTTTCTCATGGATTATGGTATCCACGCTCTAACAATTTTAAACTAGAAGGTTTTTCAGATGCTGATCTTGCAGGTGATAAGGAAGACGGAAAAAGCACCAGCGGAACATGTCAATTACTTGGAAAAGCACTGATATCTTGGAACAGTAAAAAGCAAGGATCAGTTGCACTATCCACAACTGAGGCTGAGTATATCGCCATTGGACAATGTTTTGCACAATTATTATGGATGTCTCATCAATTGGGTGACTATGAACAATTCTTTAAACCCATCCCAATTTTCTATGATAACTCTAGTGCTATATGTCTCTCAAAAAATCCTGCGCATCACTCTAGGGCTAAGCATATAGACATCAAGCATCATTTCATTAGAGATCATGTTCTTAAGGAAAATATAGAATTATCTTTTGTTGGTACTACTTATCAATTAGCAAATATTTTCGCTAAGGCTTTACTTGAAGATAGATTTTGCTTTTTAAGAAAATTACTTGGTATTATTTCCGTTGATCATTAATATTAGGACCTATGTGATATCGTTATATCTTGTATGCCTAATGTTTAAATTTTGTCTTTTCATAGTCATTAATAGCGCCTCCGAATTCCCTCTCTTTTCCTCTTTTTTCACATCAGTTGCAGCGTTCAAGAAAGGAAAACCAATCATCATGCATGTTCAACTGACACCCTTTTCCTTTCCTGTACCCAACCGTTAGAAAACCCTTTTTAATCTCTGAAACCCTCTTCCAATCTCCATCGTTCCCATCGCCTAGACAACCTCTCCGAAACTCTCTCTAACCAGTTTACTCCATGGCTTAACACTCTAAAAATCCCTTATCCTCCACCAGGAAAAGTACTCGTTCCAGAGCAAAACCCTCTTCCCAGCCTCCAGAACAAGTAGACCCAGGGTCCGACCACTCAGAAGGTTTTGCCTCCTCTCAAGCAGAACTCTCAGATCATTCTTATCCTCTAGGAGAAAATGCCCTGGGAAAAAGGCCTTTGGAAGAACCTCCTGAATCCTTTACTCCAAAGAAATCCAAAATAGATCTCTCAAGTTCTTTAGAGTCTGACCTAAATTTCTAGGAATCTCCAAACAGGGGTTTTTCATTGCTTTGAAAGACAAGCCAATCGCTCATGGCAGAGTAGTAGACCTTGATGACATGGAAGCCCTAAACTGTAAGGTAAAAAATCTGTTTGTTTATCAAGGCTGGTCAAAATTCCTTTCTATTCCCCCTCCTAAGTCTATGAACCCCTGGTGAGAATGTTTTATGCCAATCTTCGCTCTAGTAAATCCGACAAGTTGGAATCCTTAGTGTTAGGAAAGTGCATCGTTCTTGATTGTGCCATGTTTGACTCAATTTTTCAGTGCAAGTGTTCTGGTTTTCCCATGCTTTTCAAAAATTCTTTGCCTGATGACTTCAAAATCACCAATCAAGCAAAACGCTGTATTGCTGAGTGTTCATCTGAATACCTCCCTAACAGTTAGGTCTAAGTGATGTTATCTTTGAAACTCTGTTCTAGCCAACATTGTTGCAACTACTCTGCTCCCTCGTACTGGCTCTTTCTCCACCTTCTCTCAACGAGATACCTTTCTTGTCTACTGCCTTGTGACCAAACTCAAGATCAAACTGTCCTCCTAGGTCATAAATTTTATGATTGAAAGTGCTGACGATCCCACCAGTCTGCCCTATGGCATGGCCATCACCATTCTGGAAGCTCATAATATCTCTATCCCTGAATATCCCTTCGCCTCTGTTTCAAAATCTTACAATTCTAGGGCGTTTGCTAGTATGGGGTATGTGTGTGCAAATGGCTCCTGTGTTAAGAAACAGGAAGGTGAAGTCAAGCATGTTCAACATGATCCCAAGACCAAAGCCTCTGTTTCCCATCATAGTCTTAGTAATCCTGACCTTGCTGAGAAACCGACTGCCATTGACAACTATCTGAACACCATCAAAGATCTTCTTACTGCTACTCAGTCCACTGTTGGGGACATACATGCAATCTCCAAAAAGACAGGGTCTGATGTTTCAAAGATAAGGGTTGTAATTCTCAAATTTAGGGAAAACGCAGTCAAAGCATTCAAGGAGGTACACGACATGCTTGGTCTCAGCTAATACCAGCTTTGAACAACTGAAGGAGGCGATTTGTAAAACTCTTATTTATTTCTTGCGTCGCTAGTGTGGAAGTTTCAAACAATTTTTTTGTTGTGCTGTTTTGGACTGGATAACCATTCGTTGGATGATTTTTTTTGCTTTGTTTTGCTATAACTCTGCATGCCTCTCATGCATTTTATGCTATATATTCTGCTTTAGTATCTGGTGTATTTTTCCTCTCTTTGCTGATGTCAAAAAGGGGGAGAAGGCTATACATATATTCGTGCAGGTACATCCATTGCAGAGGGAGTCGACTATAGATCCTACAGGAGAAGTCGACTAATAGAAGTAGTCCAAACGGCACCTATTGAGGGGGAGTCAACTGCACTCATTGAGGGGGAGTAAAATACAGGGAATTTAACTGATGTTTACATATATTATTTTTTATCATCATCAAAAAGGGGAAGATTGTTAAGTTTTAGTTTTAACGATGAAAAATAATATAATTGCGTTTGGTGTAGGGACTCAAGAAAATCAATCAAGATCGAAGAGAAACAATCAAAGCTGAAGGAAGAAATCAATCAGAGATTGATTGAAGCATTCAAAAGGAAAAGAAGCACTGAAAATCCTGCAAGATAATCAATCAGAGATTGATTGAAGCGTTAAAAAGGAAAAGAAGCATTGAAGATCCGACAAGATAATCAATCAGAAGCTATTACTGGAAGTGCCCAGATTTAAGGAGCAAATCGGCTATCAAGACTTAAAGATGGAAAGCAGTCAAAGTCCACACATCAAGGAAGAGTAACAGGAATTAACCTTATTCTTGAAATGAATCAATTTCTTCCAAGGATCAAGTCTCTTGGGTTGGCAAATATCTTTAGTATGAACGGTCTCCTACAAAGTATTTATACGCAACCTTAAGTCCTGGAGAGTCATACTTTGATCAAACCAATTACCCTTTCTTTGTTCTACTTTAAACAAACATTGTAGCTCTACTAGATCTGATGTGTAACAAGTTAGAGAAGAAAGAGAGAAAAATACTGGTGAGGCATTGTATCAAGAAAAGACGAGTAACATAGAAACTGAGTTGTTGGTGTAAACTACACCATTCACTTTGTACTCAAGAAACTCAATCACTGAAAGAGAACTCCCTTGCAACCCAAGGGAACTGGACTAAGATTCACATTGAATCTGAACCAGTATAAAAACTCCGATGTCTTTAATTCCTGCACTTTACTTCTGCATTTTAATTCTTCAACTCTTAATATCTCGTTTTTACATCTAGTCGACTAATCGGAAAACTAGTCAACTTATAATAATAATTTTTAAAATAAACAATTCAATCCTTACCCCCCCCCCCCCCCCCTTGTACTTTCACATCTCATTGTTACCATTGATAGAATGAAGAGTGAAGACTTCCGGTTGAGAAAAATTAATACTTGAGGGTTAAAATCATAATTTTATTAATCTTTATTGGGTTATTGGTTAACCCGTTATAACATTTAACAAATTGAGGCCCGACCGATAACCTAATAGTAAAAAAATATATTACCGAACCATTAATCCAATAACCCTATACCGATAACCCAATAAGCTTTTTTCAGTTCGGGCTATCGATTTTACCCGATATACGCCCAGCCCTAGTACTTATGTTATTTAAATTCTGTAAATTACTCCGTTCACTTTTACTTGTCACTATACTAAAAATACAATTTCACTTTTACTTGCCAACTATACTAAATCAAGAGAAAGACAATTTTTTTCTTGTTTTACCCTTGTCATTAACTACTCATCTCTCAAATCATTTCTCAAGACTTTATAAAATACGATCATTATTATGGGTAAAATTGTAAAGTACATACTTTATTTATTATTTCTTAAAGGAAGTGCAAAGTCAAAAGTGAACAAATAAAAGTAACCGTAGGGAGTACAATTTATAGAAATTTTCAGAAACCACTATTATTTAGTGGCTATTAACTTGTTATAGTTATCATTTACTTAATTACTTCCTATAACTATCTTTTCAGTTGTTATGGAATGTGTTCGATGTATTCTAGCTATTGTATTCACGAATACAGTAGTAAAACTCGGCGAAAAAACAGGGCATGGCAGCTATCATTCGCTGTATTCATATGTATTCGCGAGATGTATTCATGAATACAACGTAAAAATAGGCCTCTTCGGCTGTTTAAAAACGGAAGTGAATCAATTAACGTGATAGACTCCTAAAATAACTCAACAAACTCAATTATAACACGTAAAATTATTAATCCAATTAAGAAAAAGATTTCTCAGACGAAAAACACCCAAAAAACAGAGCAATATTCAGAGATTTAGTTCATCCTTTTTTCCATGGTATATACTTACAACCTCTTCACCAATTTGCTGTATCCAATTGTATGGATATGTATCTGGCTAGTTGTATAATGTAATCATGGTAGAATTTTAAAAAATACAGCATGTATAATGTTGTATTCATAATATATGCTTTCCTTCATGCTATGTTTCTCTAACAAAATCTTAATACATCTAAATACATTTAAAAGTCATTGTCTACAATCTAAATACATTACATTGGTTGTATTCATTGATTTTCTATTTTTATTGAGAGTATTTTACTGTATTTCATTGTATTGTTGTTTTAAATACATATGAATACAGTTAGGTTAAAAATACAGATGAATACAGTTAGAACTAACAATGTATTTAAAAATGTTGTTGTATGAACTCAAATACATATAAATACATCCAAATACAACAGTCAAAAATCATTGTACAAATAAAAATCAGTGTATGCCTTATCGAATACATATAAATACATCTGAATACAAGAATCAACTCTTCCGTTGGAATTGTCAACCGGCCAGCGGAGTTGCAGAGTTCGTGATAAAGGAGAATCGTGGTTCAATGTAGCGACATAATTTTTGCAGCTTGGAAACATTATCTAGCGTGCCTGCCAAGTCTCCAACAACTTTCTGTTCAGCATCCAAATTCTCCTCGTCAAGAACATTATCGGACAATTCGTCCAGATCTGCCAGGAACATATCAGCAAGAGTTGCCATCGCAAATTAGTTTGATCAGTTTGAAAATAACGTACTCTAGGATTTAATAAGGAGGTAGTTAGAGAGAAAAATATTAGAGAGTGTGTTCAATGGCTTAATGGTAGGAAGGAACCATAAATACATATTTTGCTATAAAAACTAAAAGGTAGCTATAGAAAATAATATATTAAAAGGGTTTTTATTTATAATAAAATTGGGTATAAAGCTTTGCTATAGGAGGTAAAGTTTCCTACAATTTATCCTGCCCATTTGTTTTTGTTTTTTTCCTTTTCACCGCCTAGTGAGTTGTAAATTACAATTGATATTACTTATGGCATGATCTCAATTCTCAACTCTCAAGACACAATGGGCAAATTCTATAACTTATGAGGACGAAAGGGTAACTTGTAGTTTCTTTGGGTGCCAAAATTCAAAATTGGCTCATTCATAGAGCTCGTTTGAACATAAACTTTTTCACTTTTCTTCAAATAAGTTTTACTTTTTTTCGAAATCAGTGGTTGGTCATAAAATTTTTAATTTTCACTTGAAAAATTTTCACTCAAAACACTCACAAAATTTTAAAACAACCCAAAATTATATTCATGTCCAACCGCTAACTCTAATTTTGAAATATCATTTTTCCCTTCACAATTTTTATCACTTTTTGTTTTGGAATTTCAAAATTCTTGTGTCCAAACGCCGACTTAAACCGCTCCTCCAATGTTCCCTCTTCAGTCCTCATGCCATTGCGATTCTTTCTATAGGCAAAGATCTCAGTGAATCAGCCTTCAATCTACAAAGGTCATTTTTCTAATATATTTCATCTTTTTATTTTGGATATTTTGAAAAATATATTTTTGTATACCCAGTTGGGAAATGCTGGATTATTTGTGTTTTCTTGTTTGTCTTTCAATTTAGTTTTGTTACTATTTGGTTTAATTATGGTATGTTTTTGTGAGTCTTAACGAAATGTGGACTCTGTTGTGTTTTTTTCTTTTTCTCTGAATCGGGTTCTGTGGGTCTGCTATAGAATTCAAGAATTAATACGTAATATGATTATTGATTGATATAAAAAGGATCATAAATTGTGCCATTAATTAATTAATTAGGATGGCACTTTGAAATGATTCGGAGTTACCCTCCTTTTGATGGGTGTATCATTGTTGCTAACAGTCTGAATTTCAAGGAATGTGTTTTTAGAAAGAAGTCATGAATTGATGTGCTATATGCTAGATGAGCAAATTCGTAGGGTTTTGTAAGGAAAGGAGTGGCTGGAAGAGGTAAATTAATAGAAACAAAAATGGAATTTTTTTTCTTTCTCTAAATTGCTTTCCTTTGGCATATAAATTCTAGTTTAGTTTTGATAGCCTTCTGTAGAATAGAACGTGAAACCTAAATGCCACATGATGTTTGGGGAATTGCAGAAGGGCTTTGAGTTAATTTATTGAAATGGAACTTTGAAATGATTACCAAGTTCATCCCTCTTGATAACAACAACAACATATCTAGTGTAATCCCACAAGTGAGGTTTGGAGAGGGGTAGTATGTACGCAGACCATAATCCTACCTTGTACGGGTGGAGAGGTAGTTTCCAATAGACCCTTGGCGCATGAAAGCAAAATAATAAGAGAAGATGACATGCAAGAAGAAGCATTAACAATAACAGTAGCAAGATAATTAGAAATCCAAAGCAGAAGGAACATTAAGTAGTAATAAAAATCTAAACGGAGGAAATACGAGATTGATAATAGTACTATTGATATGCAAAGGCAATACGCTCGACTACCTACTACTCCTCAACTCTAATTTTCAACCTCCACACCCTCATGTCCAACATCATGTCCTCGTAAGCTAAAGATGCGTCAGTCCTGCCTAATCATCTCTCTCCAATATTTCTTAGGCCTACCTAGGTAGAACCTAGGGCCTTCAATGGCCAACCTCTCACACCTCCTCACAGGGGCATCCATGTCTCTCCTCTTCACGTGCTCGAACCATCTCAAGCTTACTTCCCGCATTTTGTCCGCCATAGAGGCCACTCACACTTTATCCCTCCTGATAGCAGTTGTTGCTAATCTTCTGATTCTGTGTATGAGGTGATTAACATCTGCAGAAGAGAGTGATAGCAGTCACCCTCTTTTTCCTCCCAATTTCAAGTCTGTTCGGTTGGAAATAGCCAGAATTGGAACTAATTCTTCTTTTTTACCCTTTCTGACTTGCACACGCCATTGCCTATAGTGTTTAGTTCATTAACTTCTAAGTATTGGTTAGTTTCCCACCTTTGTATACTTTCCTTTAAGGTTGAAAGCATATCTATATCTTCAGTTTTCTAACGCCTTGTTTTAATGTGAAGAATGCAGTTTCCAGGTAAGTTGTTTAGATAATGAACAGTGGATGTTTATAATTAGGGGCCATGATTATGATGAAGACCACTGCAAGTGTCTGGATACGAAACGTGATTGTGTATCCAAGCTTTTGACACACAACAGAGGTTGGCTAGTAACTAGCTCCCTTTAGTATTTTCTTTTGGGGGAAGGTTCAATACTATCAAGGGAATATATGTGAATGCATGTGTATAATATATAGCACCCAAGAGTATGGTCTAGCGGTCAATAAAGTGGATGAAAATTATGGGAGATTAGAGTTCAACTCTCGGTAGAGGCAAAAAAAGGGAATAGTCGAGGTGCGCGCAACGGACACCACCATATCAAGAAGTGAAATATAAAATTGGTAGTCGCTTGATCTTTTCTCCCCATTTCTGTCTCTGTATCTCTACTGCCCCAAAGATCACCTATGTCCTGCCTCTACTCCACTAGTTTTCTTTAATGGGTGCAGCGCGTACATTGTTATCATTATAGTGAATGAGAGTGTGATGCTTTGATGGTGCAACATATATGTCGCTGTCGTGATTTTGAAGTTTGCACAAGACCTGCCTTGGATGGAGAGTGCCTTTGCTTATTGAAAATTAAGATTTTTTTATGGTTATGGAAAATTAAGATTTTAGTTTTCTTGGTTGTCGCTAAATAGGGGTTCAAAGCATGTTTGATCTTGTTTCTTGAATTGATATAGATATTTCTCTGGACATCAAAAGTAAAGAAGAACTGCACAAGTGCTCCCCTGCAGCTTAAGATTATTTCATTTATCAGTGTGAGAATTCATTATTTGTTTGACACTACATATTTTGAGTCATTTATTTACTAGTAGTAACTCGTAGAGAAGTGACACAATTTAATATAGTATTGTTTACCTGTTTGGTTTTCCTCCATAGTACTATTTTATGTCCACAATGTTCAAATAGGCAACCATATGGAGTTGGATTTCATGGGCTTTGAGCTTGTTCTGCTTGATTTGGCGATGGGACTATGTAATCATTCTCTAATACACTCCATCGATGGAAGTAGTCAGTAACATTTAGCACCTTTTACTGGCAGGACCTCTGTTTTCTCGCTCTCTTTGGTGTACTGAAAAAGAAATGACATTCCTAATTGAAGCTAATGCAAACAAATGTGTGATCATAGTTTTATATATCTGTGTGCTTATGTATTCCCTTTCTCCCAGTTTAGATGTCCTGAGGGATCACTTGTTTCACATGTTGGCTATGCTAGAATTAAAAGGCAAGATTGTTTATGTTATGAATAATAATGAAGGGATTGTTATAAAATATTACATAGATTCCCACATAACTTAATGCATGTATTGTTTAATATCGTCAGCAACCGCTGGATCAGGTTATGCAGGGATTATATTTTCTTATATGGCCTACCAAACACTGCATTGCTATCTTGATTGTGAAAAAGAGATTCAACTGCTAGAAACTGAAATATATTGTATGTAGTATCTGTTTGTTGTTGTTCAGAAAAGGAAAAAGGTAATGTGTTGGGTGAAACCCCAAAAAATAGCAACTTCTAGCGGTCCATTGTTTACCATACTAACAAAAGCTCCCATCAAAATGTTGGCGGTGTTGGTCGAACCCACAGGAAGATTCAGTGCCTTAGAAAAAGACTCAGTCTTAGCAGTCTTGAGAAACTCACAAAGAAAAAAGAGAGGCAGTGAGATTGAGAGAGTGAGGGCTGTGGCAAATGCAATGCATAGCTAATCAATAGTGCATTTCTGAAGACATTTCTGACAATCATATGTGTGTGTGCTCCCTTCTTTCCAGCTTTGATTTATTGAAGTCACTTTAGATTCTACTACGACTATTTAACTACTACTGCTACTGCATCTGAATGACTTATTGGTTCCCCAAGTACATGCAAGCATGGCCGTCAAGTAATAAGTGACTCGACAGTCAGATGTCGAATCCACAGAGATTTAGAATAATTGTTAAATAAGCTAACTAAAATCAATTAACTGCCCAAGGTAATCAAGATGGTTTTGCTACTAAACTACTTTTGCGGAAATTAAACAAATAATTAACTAAACTAACACGAAGCAAGAAATTGTGATTTGATTTTAATCAGAGGAGATGAAGATTTTAGGATTGTAGTTGGTTTATCAATCCTATTGAGTTTGTGATTACTGTTAATCCGAATTATCTATGGTTGCTAGTTGACCGAATCATTTTTATAAATAGCATGTTCCCATAAACTTTTCATCTGTCCATAATATATCAACCCTATATTCTTTCGGTATTGAATCTATCATGAATGAATTAATTACAATATTCAACTAAGTGAGACGGTTAGGTATATTCATATTCTAACCACGAAATCCTTCCCCAAGTCACGGGTTCAGAAACAAGCTCTCTCTAATTCTACTCTAATATAAACATGACTTTTCCAAGCATAGTGCAAATAGTTGGGGTGAATCAGTTGCTACAGCAGTTCACAAGTTAAACTAAAATTAAACTTTAATTCTAGTTTGGCTGGTCGCTTCGCGTCGCTTCTCGCTTAAAGCGACTATCGCTTTTTAAAACACTGAACTAGAGAAAACACCACAAGATGGTAATTCGAATTGACGAGGATGTAATTAACAAACTTCAATATTCATGATAACCACAACCCTAGAAAATAGAGAACTTAGCCACTCATAATCGTAGTAACAATTACACAAGTATTTTGCATAAATAAGTTACTAAGGCCTCATTTGTTTGCACTTAATGGAGGTCTGAATCTTAATCATTCAGATCTCAGACATTAAGTGCGTTTGTTTTTAAAGTCTGAATCTGAATTATTCAGATCTTAATCATTAAGTGTGTTTGTTTTTTTTACTTTACAACCACTTAATTGTTCTGAATAGGTTTGTATGATCAAGATCTATAGCAGAGACTTAATTTCATTAAGATGCTATCACATATTCATTATTAATTGCCGCCACCGCCTACCATTATCAACTACCACCATGCCACCACCACCAACATACTCAACCACCACCCACCACCACTACCACCATGCCACCATCATCCTCAATCATAGCCTCCATTATTGACTATCCCCGCCACTCCGACCACCATCATCTGACCCACAATCAACACTCATCCGCCTCAACCACCACAACTGACCACCCCATTACCATCAACAACCACAGCGGACACTGCCTATCATTATAACCTACCACCACCCACCCACCACCTTCCTCAATCACAACTACTACCACCACCCGACATTATTAACTATCACCACCCACCAGCACCATCCTCAATCATAATCGCCACCACTACCAATCGCTACTAGCTACTAGCATGAACCACCATCATCAACCAAAACTACCACCAACCACCCCCTCTAGTCGGCATTCACCCGTTAGCCATCACCACCAACAACTATCATATTTTTAAAAACTATACATTTTATTAATAAAATATTAGATTAGTTAGTATTTCATTTGAATTTTACATTTATTAATTTTCAAATAAAGATAAATTTTATACATTCAGATGTTAAAAATCAAACAGTCTTAATTATTTCTGTTCNCGGTACTAATTATTACTGTTACAGAACTTAATACACATCTTAATATATTCAGTTGTGTATTCAGATTCAGATGTCTTAATCTTAATACACATCTTGATATTCAAATGTGTATTCAGATTCAAACGTCTTAATCTTAAAAAAAACAAATGAGGCCTAAGAAGAGATTAAGGAATGAAGAACTCGATGATTTTCTCCTCCAAAATTGCTCCACACGATATTCTAGCCTCCAAAAATTGTCCAACCCCCAAAAAGTAGGTTTGGAACCCCTTTTACACTTGTTGGGGACGCGTAGGACCGAAAAGAGCCCCTCTCCAAGTCGAAATAGGAGGTTTCTCGGAAGTAGGCGACACGATGGGCGCAGGGTGCCCCCCTGGACGGTGAATTATCTCCCTGCCTTTGGCCTTTTGGTTGGCGCCTGGCGCTAACCAGGACGCCCAACTTTTGCTTCTGCTGAATTCGGCGTCTAGAAGGTCGGCGCCTTGCGCACTTCTGGACGCCAAATTCTACACTTCTTTCGAATTCCTTCCTTTTCGGCTTCAATTTGCGCAGATTCCTCCCAAATCACTTCCAATCGACTCCTACCCAAAATTCAACAGCTAGAAACTGAAATATATTATATGTAGTATCTGTTTGTTGTTGTTCAGAAAAGGGAAAAGGTAATGTGTTGGGTGATACCCCAAAAACAGCAACTTCTAGTGGTCCATTGTTTACCATACTAACAAAAGCTCCCATCAAAATGTTGGCGGTGTTGGTCGAACCCACAGGAAGATTCAGTGCCTTAGAAAAAAACTCAGTTTTAGCAGTCTGAGAAACTCACAAAGAAAAAAAAGAGGCAGTGAGATTGAGAGGTGAGGGCTGTGGCCAATGCAATGCATAGCTAATCAACAGTGCATTTCTGACAATCATATGTGTGTGTGCTCCCTTCTTTCCAGCTTTGATTTATTGAAGTCTCTTTAGATTCTACTATGACTATTTAACTACTACTGCTACTGCATCTGAATGACTTATTGGTTCCCCAAGCACATGCAAGCATGGCCGTCAAGTAATAAAGTGACTTGACAGTCGGATGTCGAATCCAGGGATTTAGAATAATTGTTAAATAAGCTAACTAAAATCAATTAACTGCCCAAGGTAATCAAGAGTGATGGTTTTGCTGCTAAACTACTTTTGCGGAAATTAAACAAATAATTAACTAAACTAACACGAAGCAAGAGATTGTGATTTGATTTTAATCAGAGGAGATGAAGATTCCAAGATTGTAGTCGGTTTATCAATCTTATTGAGTTTGTGATTACACCTGTTAATCCGAATTATCTATGGTGGCTAGTTGACCGAATCATTTATATAAATAGCATGTTCCCTTGTCCATAATATATCAACCCCATATTCTTTCGGTATTGAATCTATCATGAACGAATTAATTACAATATTCAACTAAGTGAGACGGTTAGGTATATTCCTATCCTAACCGCGAAATCCTTCCCCAAGCCACGGGTTCAGAAACAAGCTATCTCTAATTCTACTCTAATATAAACATGGCTTTTCCAAGCATAGTGCAAATAGTGGAGTGAATCCGTAGCTACAACAGTTCAAAAGTTAAAACTAGAATTAAACTTTAATTCTAGTTTGGCTGGTCGCGTCGCTTCTCGCTTAAAGTGATGAAGCAATCGCTTTTTAAAACACTGAATTAGACAAACAACCACAAGATGATAATTCGAATTGACGAGGATGTAATTGAAAAACTTCAATATTCATGATAACCACAACCCTAGAAAATAGAGAACTTAGCCACTCATAATCGTAGTAACAATTACACAAGTATTTTGCATAAATAAGTTACTAAGAAGAGATTAAGGAATGAAGAACTCGATGATTTTCTCCTCCAAAATTGCTCCACACGATATTCTAGCCTCCAAAAATTGTCCAACCCCCAGAAAGTAGGTTTAGAACCCCTTTTACACTTGTTGGGGACACGTAGGACCGAAAAGCCCCTCTCCAAGTCGAAATAGGAGGTTTCCTGGAAGTAGGCGACACGATGGGCGCGGGGCGCCCACCTGGATGGTGAATTATTTTAAGCCCTGCTTTTGGCGTTTTGGTTGGCGCCTGGCGCTAACCAGGACGCCCAAATTTTGCTTCTGCTGAATTTGGCGTCTAGAAGGTCGGCTCCTTGCGCACTTCTGGACGCCAAATTCTACACGTCTTCCGAATTCCTTCCTTTTCGGCATCAATTTGCGCAGATTCCTCCCAAATCACTTACCAATCGACTCCTACCCAAAATTAAGCTCAAGTAATTCCATTACACGTTAGAATTAACAATAGTTGGGCAAAAATGTAAGGCACTTAGCATACGAAAACATGGATTTTTAGCCAAACATCACCTATGGTTGGCATTTTTGAAAATGAGATAAGATCAGGTAGCAGAATCCAATTTTAAATTAGCGCAGCTGTGTTTTTATTTAAGAATCTTATTTTTTTCTTAGTTAAGAAAGAGGTTAATGCTTATCCTATATGTAGTACTGTACACTTGGTTTTCATGCTGATGTTAATGACTTTTTGAGGAGCTTGGAATTAAGTGGAAACTAGAGGAACAAAAGCAGGAGCTAGAGGATATCTTTTTGGAACATGTGGAATGAGTTTTGTGGTTTCTAGCTTGTACGGTGCTCTTATTTTTATAGTAATGAATCTAAGAAATATTTAGTTGTCACTAGATATGCAGCAACTTGATATGTCATAAGTGGAATTATTAGGTGTCAATGTGTCATGTTGCAAGTTAGTTATTAGGGGTTCCGTAGTTAAATGGGAATGGAAAGAGCAATGTTTTGGGTTTGTATCTCTGTAAAATATTGGATGCTCTTTTCCACTCGATGATATGGTATCAAAGAAGCACTTTAAACTTTGGTTGGTGAAGCAATTGATTACAAAATAGTTTGCCTCTCTATTCTTCATGATTTATCAGATATTTATCCATATCAACCTTTGTCTTATTACATCAATAATTATTACTTCTGCAGATCCAAATGAAACAAATCGTGAAGATTTTGACGATAGTTTTTGGGGTATCCGCCCTTTGGATAGGCTTGCTGCAGACATCAGTGGTTCCAGAGAACTATACTTGGCTGGTGAGCTCTTATTGACAACGATTTCCTCTTCAGCATTTGCTTAACCTGTTCTTCCACTTTCTAAATGGTTCCTACTATGATGTTGTAGTTGCCTCTATACTTCATTGTGTCCCTTGGATGCTATGGTCTCTTAATGGTAGGTGTTGGTCTCATGAAATTTCCCACGTGCCCGCAAGAAGCTGTTTTCTTACAGCAGGTACAGTTGCCTTTCTTTTTAACAGTTATTACATTCAATTGCTGTTGTCAAGATTGTGCTGGGAGAAGGAGCTAGGTCCTCTGGGCATTTTATAGTGAAATATGAGAAAAAGGGAACCGAATAGGCATTTTGCTGAAAAAGTAATAAGAGCGTTTCTGTTTTTCTAGGACGTTCGTGAAGCCAAGGAGTTGTTGCAGAAAAAAGGGGTTGATGTTGGCTCTGATTGATCTGGTTCATGAAAACTAAGTTTGGTTGTTTACTTAAAATACATCCCAGCCCGCAGGAAGAATTAGCCAGTCATCAACTCACCAAAGTTGCTGTGGTTTCCAGAAGACTTTGTAACTGATCTTGATACATGTAGATTTCAATTTTTGCTCCTACTGGTATATTATGCTTATTATTAGAAGAAAGAAAAGAAA